ACGTGCAGAAACGTGCATTTCCGCGAATTTCCACAATAAGTCAGCTCAGTATTTTGCGCCAGATGATGTAAGAGCAGTTAGAACACAAATAATTCCTGAATATTGGATTTGGCTTCCAGATTGTAGCCGCGTTTTTTGCGGATTCATCCCCGACATTTCATGAACATTTCAGTTGACTTTTTTCAGGAAGACGTGCAACCTGATTCACTGAGTCAAGTCCAGCGTTTCTCCACGTCGCGAAATCTTCAAACATCAACTTGCCTTTGTGTCTGTATGCGTGTGTGTGCCGATGAAGAAACGAGTGAAATATAAAGCGCAGATATTTGCGCTGATTATTGCCATTAGCGTAATAACGGCGATTCCGCCGTCTTATTTCTCCGCGAGTTATTACTTGCGCGTTAAGCGCTTTTTACTCGCCTAACGTACTACACCTGTGCCTCTACGCGAGCCACACATTCCGCGTGCATGCATGCATCGACTGACTGACCCCGGATTTGTTTGAGGAAGAGTGTCAAGATTATCGAGAGAGATCGGCGCGACTAACGACTAGACGCTTCGAACTGCAAAGGTAACAGGCCGCTTTTGCGCCTCCTCCTCGCGCCTCGGCATAACCGCTCACATTTTTTATCTTTCACTGTCTTTTCAAGAAAGCTGGAAAAGTACGCCGCATATGCAAATTGCTTTCAAGCGGCGGGTGTCAGGTGGTAATTGTCCGGGGTTACGGGTCGGGGGTCACGTTAACATCTTTACCGCAATGCCCGGCCGATAATTATCGCACCTCTAGTGGCTCTTCATCTTCTCTCGTCCCGTAAGTGGGACTACTGTTGGCCAAGAAACGACTTGCAGCTGACACTTTCACTAACACGCTGCCTCAGACATCGAACTTGGAGCATTCGTCCAGTTGCTTGATGAAAGATGTCATGTTCACGGCCATCAACGAGACTTTGCCAACGTCGCCGCTCGCGTCTACTTTTTGTCACCCTGTTTACGCTTTTTACGACTTTTTTTTCCCCGAAAACATAGAAACGTCTCTCTTTCTCTCTCTCTCTCTCTCTTAGCAAATCGTTACCATGACAAACAAACGCCCCTCTGAGAATCTTGTGTCTAAGAGAAAAGTTGCGACTTTGTACTTCAATGATACAAATATAATTACCATTTTATTCCACAGCGATGCAATTTTTCTTCTCCGTTTATAATTTGCAAATTCTTCTACGTATCGCAGTATAAAAGGAATTACAAAATTGGATAGAAAAATCAGTGATATTTCGACGTTGTTTAGCTGAAAGCACGCGAAAAGAAGGAGCCGTTTCAAAAGTCCTCCGAAATACCAATGGTTGCGTTAGATGTATACTGGGATGTCCCCAAGGGGATGTGGACCCCTTTTCATGTCGGCAAGCTCGAGATCGTGACTCAGCAGCGGAATCGAATCTCCAGAGGCTCGTGTTTCTCGCCTCGAACAGATCCGCTGCCAACACCTTGAGCTAGAACGAATACCGAAAAAGAACTTTTGCGTTTTCTATATTTCTCAAATCTGGAACGTTATGCGTGATATACGCCGCGAATGATTAGCCCCGGAGGAGCTATGCATCACGATTCCTTTGTGAGGGAGATCGTATTGGTCTGTAAATATTTTGAATATATATTTAATTTGGGACACGCGCGATGCGAATCTTTGATCGATAACCCCCGGAAGGTGGTGACCCGGTGAGGTTATTGTGATGACGAATTGCTGACGATTGAAACAGCAATTTAAACATCGTAACTTTGTCTATATTATATACATGTATATATAGCAACGACTGTTCGACTGTATATATTTATTTGCGATAAAGGCTATTTAAGATATTATTAATATTTTTGTTGTTGTTATTATTATCATTATTATTATTATTTCTCGAGATAGATATAAAAATTACAATGCTCGTCAAAATTAAAAACTGCCTGTTTACCTTTCAATATGGATTATCTGATTCCCCTCGAAATATTTTCTCTGCGGTGATTCGACTGCACTTTCGTGTCTTCAGCTGGAACGATTAATCAGCGGGGACCTGGCCAAAAATAATTCCGGAAACGCAAATTCGCACAGCTTCAATATCACAGACGATGCTCCTCTTTCATAAGCGATCAACAAGTTGAATATAACTGAAACGCCGTTAATAAAGCGATGAAAATGATAAATCGCAACGGTTCCACCCCCATCCGAGCACCGTATTGCGTTATTAAAACTTTACTAATGGGCAATAATAAGCACCAGCCTCGGCCAAGATTGATATTAAATCGTAAACTGCTTCGTCCTCATTTATCATTATCACGATATGCAGGTCCGTTGAACTCTTTAAATCTTGAATCCACAAAGGATTCCTGCCGAGCGAATTTTTGCACGTTACGGTTTTAAGAACGATTGTTTAACAAATCATTATCGTTTTAACACATTTATTCCGTACATTTAAAATTAATTAATTTGTGCGATTTAACATTTAACAAACCGACTTCTTGGCTCAACTGTCCACCCATTGCCCAAAAAGGTATTTGCGTTATTTTGACAATTACGTGTATGTATATTTTTTAAATATTATTTTATCAATACCTAATATACAGCTAACGTTCCCAAACATATTGTATAAATTCATTCATTCACTCATCCATTACATATAAATTTACAAACATATGATTTCTTCAAAAATAAAAGCACCGACAATTCTTCATGAGAGAACAAAAGTTGATGACATACGACAAACGCAAATGTGCGATCCCACGATAATCGTCATCCGGAAGATCACACATTCGCCCGATAGTCAAAAGGGCTCGTCGTTGACGAACCAGGTCCTCTTCAAGGATATCTGAGGGTGTAAAAGGGGGTGTCACGCTGCTGGACCGGGAAAAGTGATTGATCGTGTTTCGCCGAAAGACAAGAGCAGAAGACTCGAGGCAGAACTCGGGGGAGGGAAAGAAGCGAGACGACGAAAGTAGAGATAGCGTAAGATGGCGGTAGATGAGAAAAGAGAGGAGGATAGAAGTTCCCGAGCGTCGTCGATGATAAAGACGAGGAGGTTGTGTCGCAAAACGAGGAGACAACCCCCTCTAGTCTCCTCTACGTCATTCAGCGGCCCCTTCAACCCCTCTGGACTCTTCCAGATTCCACTCAAAGCTCTGCTCTTCTACGTGAAGCGACATGAAGTGGCCATAAGAAAAATAGAAATAAGCGGTGGCACATCCAAGCAAACGAAAAACCAAGACGAGAGAGAGAGAGAGAAAGAGAGAGAGAGAGAGAGGTCTAGTAAAAACGAACGACGCGTTTTCAGCCTTCCCCTGAAGCAGTCGATTCTATATCATCCTTACTTTCCTCGTACTTGACACACAGCTCTGACACATTTAATCGAGAAATTTTTAACAATACGCAAGAGAGACACAGAGGAATGTGAGTTATTACATACATAAGACTTCCTCGAAACACGTGACGTTACGTTAAGCTTGCCTGTGTGTTCTACAATGTCGTTCTACGATATTCCGATACTGTTATTTCCTTGGACCGTTTATATAGCACAGACAACGTAACTTAAATTTACCGTGCTGTATTGTCGTAGCAAAGCAAAACACAGTGAGTATGCTCTTTGCGTAATGACTCGGCGTTTTATATTCTCTATGCCACGCAGCTGATCGCGAGTGAACGTACTTGACCGAGCACGCCAAGACTGGTGCATTAATATGAAGTAGAATATAATCGAACGATAGATCTATTGCTATTAATTAATCTAGTTTTAACGCCTTTTACATAACACTGTCGGATGTTTATTAACATTTTCGAACCGGTTACCGGACTGTAAGACGCTATAGCTATTAACCGTCAGTTAAGAGAAAATAATTTATATCATATGTTACTTTATATGATATTATATATACTATATATATGTGTGTGTGTGTGTTACTTTATATATATAAAGTAACATATGATATATTATTATAAGCCATGTGCGTGTAAAATATACGGAATAAAAAATACGGAAACAATTTCGGATACTAGAATTAAATCCACTTACGGCAGGAAGAAAGGGCGCATCCGCTACAACAGATCGATTAACATCTAGTTTCCGTGTAATACGAGCAAATGGCGAAATAATGAGCTATCATGGTGATGCCTGCCGGTCACGACGAACAGTATCGAAATTATTAGCGCGATTCACCACCGTCGGGATATTCGATATCAATAGTATCAACGTACCTCGCCGTCGTATCTCTTAGCATTGACTTCGGCCATAAGATGGATTTCAGAAGCGCATGGAGGCGGGTTAAGGAGATCCGTAGGAGTGACTCTACGGTTATAAGTACCTTCGAGTATGCCCCATAAGGGAACAAGATCCACTGTTTCCGTGCCAGGGGTTGGTCTCATGCCGCTGAGGAGTGGGGGGTTGACTCGAGAGAAGACGCATGACGAGGAAGGGGGACGCGGCTCTCCGCATCGGCTCAAAGCCAGCCGGCGCGAACGGAGGGAGTTCGAAGCAACCAGAGTTGCCAGACGAGTTTCTGCCGACGCAGGACGAGCTCGCTTTCATGGCTCTCCGGCGAAGCGTCTCCTCTGACTGAATTTATACGTTATTGTGAGACGGACTGTTCACGCGCGAGAGTAGTGACGGCGGAGAGAGTGGTGCAGTGCACGAACGGTGCCTATCCATCCTTTGTCACATGTAAATCCGGAATCCGAGATGTTCGATTCGTCGAAATTTTTCACAGAAATGTCAACTTGACGCCTCGGTCGTCCAAAGTTACGGTACGTTCCAGTGGGTGTTTACGAGAGGGACAAGTGCACGTTGACGAAGAACGGGACGATTAGTTGCATATGTAAAAATTACTAAACTACAGGTGTTCCGGGCGTTCGGTGACAAGCGTGAAGTATAAAAGCGAAGCAAGAAGAAGTTGCTGCACCTGCCGCAGTTGTACTCGCGGCGCCACTCACGTGTTGCATGTGTGCCTTGGTTATCCATCATGGTCGCGAACTAGGAACAGCCCCGATTGGTCGGTTTGGCGGTCACGTGGTATGGTAATTGGGCTCCGGTGGGCGGGAAGGAGCGAACGAGGTCGTGGAGGATCGCGAAAGTGGCGGAAGGAGAAGAGAGAACAAGCAGCTGTCCACCGGGAGACCTGTGCTCGTCGTGGCCCCGCTCTTCCTATTTCTTTTCTCTTTTTCTCCCTCTCCTTCTTTCTCTTTTTTCCTCCTTTCGAGAAAACGTCACCCCTTTTCGCGAGAGAGGCGAGGTGCGGACGATGGACCACGGTGTGCAGTGCTGTGCAGTGTGAGCTCTTATGAGAATAGATACTAACGCGAAATGGGTGCACCGGGACGAAGAATTGATAAATAAAGGGTAACGTGTGACGGAGAGGAAGGCGGAAGTGAAGTGTGCGCGCGATCGTCTGCGATTCGTTCTTTTTCTTTCTTTCCCTTATACGGACACACCGTGTGCGTGTGTGTACGTGCGTGCGTGTGTGTGTGTATGTGCGCGCGCGTGTGTGTGCTATTCGCACACTCACAAACATGAGTTCTTTCTTGATGAATCCATCCGCTGCCGGTGGATATCATCACCACCAGCATCAACAGCAGACCGGGAATCACCACTTGACCGCCACGTCTGTCATGGTCGATCCGAAATTCCCTCCCAGCGAGGAGTACAGCCAGAGCAACTACATACCGTCGAGCGGGCCGGATTTCTTCGCCGGTGGCAACGGCGGTCATCACTTGAGCCATCCGCAGTCCCACCAGCTGCAGTACGGCTATCATCAGCATCACCATCAGGCGGCGTCGACTCCTTACGGCGCTTCCTCCGCGGTGCAATTAAACGGCGGGTACACAGGATACGGTGGATATTACGGGCCTCACCATCCTCATCACCAAGTGCACGCGGTCCATCATGCCAGTCTACATCCTCATCATCACGCGGTGGGTGCCCTCGCGATGCCGCCGGAAGCCCAGCAACCGCCGCTCACGTGTCCGTCGTCGATACAAAGCCAGCAGCAGCAACAACAACCACCCGTGCCGACGTCGACCGTCGTCGGCTCCACTCCTTTGTCGCCGTCTATAATGCAGAATCACGTGCAACCGGACGCCCTTCAGCATCATCAGCAACAACACGAGAACAATGCTTGCAGTCCGACTGGCTCGGGTCAGTTGCATCGAGATAATTCGCCCGATCTCCAGACGCAACAGTCCTCGTCCCAGCAATCTCAGCACATACAAACCGGCCAGCAGCAAACCCCGCAGCAACAGCATCATGCGGAAGATGCTTTGGATGCGGATGATATGGAAGACGACCAAATGATGGACGGTTCGCCGGGGATGATGGAGGAGGAGGAGGAGGACGAGGAGAGCGGAGATCGCATGATCTTCCCGTGGATGAAGAAGATTCACGTAGCAGGCGCTGGTGAGTCGATATATCTGTTAATTATTCCGTCCCAGTTGTTCCCGTGATTTACCGGGACACGTCGCCGCCGCTTTCGACGTTAACGTTCATCCTCGCGTTATTTTCGTCATCTGTATCGCAACAATTTATTTTACTTCATCGTACTCTCAGCTACATCGTGTGTGAGTGTGTGTATGCATGTGCGTTTTGCTTCGTGTGATATAATATTCGTTAATTTTTTTCAACCTGCCCTTGTTCGATAAGTATAAACGTACAACTTAATCGAGATACAACCTAATTATCTTAACTTTTATTTGTTACATGTTGAGAGATTACGTTTTGTCGTAAAACATGTAATCAGTCTTTGTGAGAATATATCCATCGGCTCGGTTGTCGCGCGTGTATGCGATAATCCAGAGAATACAATGTTATTACCCGTTTATCTATTTTAATTTATTCGTTGTAATTTTTAAAAGTATAATGGAGAAGATACGCGAAGAAATTCGGTCGTAATCGTGGTACCATCATATTAAAAAGTGTTTCTTCGAGTAAATATGTGAGTATATACGATAAATCGGAAATATAGAATAAACATTCTCTCACGAGGCTTTGCTCACGAGAAAAACAAGTTTGAATATAAATAAATTAAATATACGTGTACACTTAGCTACGGCCCCGCGATTTGTTTAATGACAAAGCATAAGTATAATTAATAATATCGTCACGTCCCGAGACGTAACAATAAGATACATTAGAAATCAAATTATTCCAACATCATGATATTTGTAAGCAGATATGAATAGAAACAGCGGTCTATATAACGATAAATGTAAACTTATCTAATTGAAACAATACAAGCGTACCTGACGAATATTTCAAATTGATATCCGAAGCGTCAAAGCAAAGGAAATATTTTTTGCGTGAGGAAACAACCCATTTACCACCGTATACGCCGGATCCTAAAGATAGATAAAGTGTCTTTTATTACAATAATTTTCATAGATTATATTCTTCAAAAAAATTCCATTTTACCTGAGATTTTCCCCGAATATACATAAAAACTCGGATACACTTAGTTAACACGTTTACGCTATTATCTTTTAATTCTCGTTTTTTCTTTTCCTATTCTCTGATATGATGAATGAATACAAATGGAAACATTTATAGGTTTCAATAAATACTTATCCGGTGACAATAGCGCGAATTTAGAGCACATCCTTTCCCCGAAATCCGGCTGACCTCTCGTACCGAAGACGATGCCGAAGGGATGCTTGTTTGTGTATCTAACAAACAGACATCGTATTGTGTGCGCAAGGTGACACTTTTTGGAACGCCCGAAGACTTATGAGCTGCAATTTATCGTTGCACCTTGTGATCACCTGTAAGGTTTTACACAGCGGCACCTCATATATTATAGATGAATTCAGTTACGCCTAATATGTCTTCATCCTTCACGCACACACGGTAGCGAACATGTGCCACAAGAATGGGACGTCCACAGCACAATTCAGCACTGTGGGCAACAATAAATTTCGAAATTGGACACAGAGATTCTATCGTATTTTAAGTAGACATTCACCGTTGTGTAAGGTTAGTAGCGCTTGGAACTTTAGAATAGATGCCGGTAATGGTGTAATGCCCCTGATCGTTATAATCAAGGCAATTAACGCGAATGTAGTTCTCCTTTCATAATTAATCAGACAACTACTACCAGAACTAATATACGCGTGCTTCCTATCCTCGCGAAGATAAAAACACGTTTTGAGCGTGAACCCCCCCCCCCCTCCCCCGACACGCTGGTATATTAATTAACGTCTCGCAAATTATAAATGTGCAGTGTAGATTTGTAACGCATTTGTTTCGGAGGTTTGTGATATTCGTAACACGCCGTCGGGCCAAAATCTATTTCGCAGGTTTCACAAAAAATTCCCAAAGGTAATTCTTGCAACGTAATATGCCTTCGGAATTCGACTGACTTTGCAGCCACAAAAATTTGTATTCCGCTTAAGCGCGGAAAGTGCTGCTCATTCCAGCTTGCAAGTATTTCCTTTGAGACCTCCGTTGTGCCTGATAAAATCATTGCAAAACCGAATACCCATAATTCATGCTTCCAGGTAAAATTTCCGGCAATGAGAACTCGTCATTTTTTTCTGGTACTTAATGCTAAAAATAATCGTTACCGCGTGTAGAGCAAATAAGCACGTAACGCTTACTCAAATTGATACGCCCCGTATCGTTTAATTAAAGCGAATTATTCGTTTATAATTAGTGTAAATATATATTCGTGCGTAAAAAGAACAACAAAGTGTAAGTCCGAAAACTTATCTTCAAGAGAAATTGTTCGCAGTTGAACAGCAGTTGCTTGTTGAGATACGGAATTATGAATTCTCAACCTTATAATTTAATCCTAGTAACAGAATTCATTGGCGATGCGTTGGTCCAATATTGATTACAATTGTTATTTATTGATGGTACATTGAACAACTTTCCTATATTGCGGATGTAATATAAAGTCAGCCAGACAGCCAAATTTACGAGTAGATAATTAAAAAGCAGACTTTGCATAATATTTGCTACAAATTTTACCGATATTTTACCAACAGAAATATAATAGGATCCGCTAGCAGATCATGATAATAGATTGATCTGTTATCATGCTCTGTCAGCCAAATCCTCTTATATTTCTGCTAGAAAACCGTCGACAAAATTTATAGCAGATATTACATAAAATCTGCTTGTGCAGGTTTGTCTATCTGGCTGGCTTTTATATTGGGCAACATTTACTCAATGTATCCCCAACGAATGCCAATATAATCGATATTGGCTAATGTATCGCCACTGAATTGTGCTACTAGGGAAATGATCTTTTTAACATCTGGTAATTATTTTCATAAAAAGATAGTAAACTTTAACGCTAAAACGGTAAAATCTGTAAATGTAAATCTGTAAACGTGTGATATTTGCGATAAATTTACAAATATAGTAAACAATATATATGTTGCGAGAGGAGCACATTTTCCGTAATGCTGCGTATTGTGCGCTTTAATAATTGGAATCTCTGGACAGTGGTATGCTCGTCCGTCGGGCTGTCAGAAACTGCAATCTCTACCCTTTGGTTGTCGAAGTATGGTCGCCGGACGTGGAAGTTAAAAGGGGCCTTCGCCAGACCGACGGTCAGCTCGGAATGGAATGTGTCTGAACAGATTCTGAACTAAACTCGTTCTCTCGTGTTTCCTCTATTGAGCAGAACAGACCACCAAGAACTGCTACTAGCGTGACTCACGAATATTAACATAAACGCGTACATAAAGCGAGATACCTCTTCGAATACATTCGTTCGATCATTTGTTGTGTTTCAATAATATCTGATTGTTTCCTCAATCACTTCGGCATTTTACACTTATTATTATTAAACACGCTCATCCGCGTGGTTCTGAATATTTCCTAGATTTTCCGCGCCGATCGTTAATCAATTCTACCAGGCATAGCTGTATTTTTCATTGGATTCGGAAAACTTTAATAAACACGTCCGATAGGGATAATTATCAAATAACTTGACCTTGAAATCGGATTGATGGTTGCAAGAGATGATCTATTGTACCTGCGCATCTTTAGATGTTGTTTAGCGGGACTAATGCGCGTGTAAGCCTCGCACGTTTTATTCTCGTGAATTTGCATATGCGTATTCTGCCTCCGCAACTTTACCTCGTCGTATCTTGCGGATTGATCAGATTACAAAAGTCACTTCAGTCGACTTTGATGCCATTCAAAACGGCCGTGACAGATGGTCATTTAGTGAAAATATTATTATCATAAAATATCTCTCTGCAGACACCAACGTGAGAAATATTTAATAGATGCGGTAATAACTATACAAAACATAATAATAAACTATTCTTCTCTTGAGCGTTCTTCGTAGTGTTTGTGCATTTATGCTACATTTTATTGCTGATGAGAAAGGTTCTCATATAGTCACAAAACTTGTTGCTAGATTTGTAAAAATGAACATATATATGAGAGAGAGAGAGAGAGAGAATTTCATATATTTAAACAAAATATATTATATCCTACATATATAATGTAATCGAGATATAATCACAAAAGGAATGATTCTCATATAAAAAAAAAACGTCGAAAAATGCAGAATAGAATTTTTTTTATAAAATTTAGTTTGCGAGGAAATTAATTTTGAATATTCGTTGAACATGTGTCTATAAATATTGTTCAAATTAGCCTACATTTATCGACCTGTAGATCATTGCATCTCTTCATGGTGGTGTATGCAAACATTATGATGTTTAGATTTAATTTGATTTCTATTGAATCTATCTTATATCTTGTTATAAGTACTTATTTATATTATATCTTGTCATTCGTGAGATAAGCCGTGCTTTAGCTAAATACAAACGTATCCAGCGAATATTCAAAATTGATTGTCTTGAAGTAAATGCATTATAAGAAAAAAATGTCTTCTATATTTTCGATTTATATATGTATGAGCAGACACTCTTTTACAATTGTTATGATAAAGGTTGGGCTTCGTAAATTTTTTTTTACGTGTGAATGTGTGACGAATAAACGAATGTTAAAATACAAATAACTGATTTTGATTATATGAGTGAAAAGGGCAAACAAAATGCGTAATAAGCAAAAAATAACAAAATTGCTTTACTATTTTTTCGAAACATATCTGTATAATGCAACTTCATGAAGCAACGAATATAATGAATGCGACAAAAATTTTTATCATATATACATATATTTATTTACTTTTTATATCATTATTTGTCACATTTCTGATCAGACAAAAAGTAAGTAACATCTCTGAGAAAGCGGGAATCATTTATAATCACGCCGTACTAACATATTTTCATTTCTGTTTTCTCGTTACAGCGAATGGCTCGTACCAGCCTGGAATGGAACCAAAGCGGCAGAGGACCGCCTACACCAGGCATCAAATACTCGAACTGGAAAAGGAATTTCATTATAATAGATACCTGACGAGACGGCGACGGATCGAGATAGCCCATACCCTCGTCCTAACCGAGCGACAGATAAAAATTTGGTTTCAAAACCGTCGTATGAAGTGGAAGAAGGACCACAAACTGCCGAATACGAAGAACGTGCGCAGAAAGAACGCGAACGGCCAAGCGCCGCCAGCGGCATCGAAGCCCGCGAAGACTTCGGCGACGCGAGCGAAGTCGGGCACGGGTAACAACAACAGCCAAAGAAAAAACAACAATTCGCCTTCCAGCGGTATGGAGAATAGCCTGGACTCTAATATCGGTCTCGATATGGGCGAAGTTCACGGGGTCAGCTCCAGTCTTCCTCATCCCAGCGTAGTTCATCCTGGCTTTCAAGGTCACCCTCATCCTCTGGCTCATCTCCAAGCGCAGCTGAGTCATCATCACGTGGGTGGAATGATGGACGGTCCGACGGGAGGACCGTTGGGACACATAGGTTCCGGAAGTATCAGTCCTCTTGCTCCGGCTACCAGTCCTTCCGGATTGTCGCAAGTATCAGCTCCTGTACCACCATCGGCGATAAAATCCGATTACGGACTCACAGCCCTGTAACATCTATTTTGATAGATAAATACTTACTCAGCGATGTAACCCCTCGATGTTCAATTGACGATCTTTTTATCGCGAATAATTCTTCGTTGCTTTTCTCGCTCGGTTGGATATTTATTGCAAGTTGTACGAACGAAGTTTGAATTTTCCTCGCATCAAGTCCACCAGAGTGTAGGGGAAAATACTAATAAATTACTGATACTAATTCGCATGCAAAGACGATAAGTATTAGAACGAATATCGGACTTCGATATAAAATGAAGATCCGTGCGAAACTGCAACTTCAACGAGACTATTTTTTAAATTTACGATAGGTCGAAGTGCTAATTTCGTCGCATTGTAGAAACTATATTTGAGGAACTGATTACATGAGGGAAGGCAGTTTTATAGCAGAGATGCAGATAACAATTTCTATGTGGAAAATAGTATTAGATATTAAATCTGGCCGATTAACAATAAATTTGTTTATAAGGACAGTGACAGTTTGATAATCGAAATATTTATCTTTCAATTTGATTGAACAAGTTCGATTCGAAAATCTTAAATTTGCGACTGTGGGTCACTTGATAAACGTCGAAAAAAATTAATGGAAGCTATGCCATTGTTGCAATATTTATCGTAATATTGTAAAATCATTATAATTCTCAAATTATTATGATTTCAATGCCATTAGCAATCGTAAGGTCTAACCAAAGATTTCTGATGTTGCGCATTTCATTTTGCAAATGCTAATTAATTCTACAATAACAGGTATTATTAAAAAGTACGATGTAATGAAAGAAAATACGATGCGTACACGTCAATAAGCATTCGACAAATTGAATTATGTAATTTGACGTAATTTTTTCTTTGAATTTCAAGAATAGAATTCAAAAAATAAATAGCGAATAAAATTACGGGTCATGTTAATAACAATACTTATGCGCGCAAACGAAATCGTGAGGTCGGATGTGAAACAGAGGACTCGTCAAGTAACATAGTCTTCTTATAGATTGTTAATTGATGAATTGTACTCGTAAACGAATTTAATGCTTTCCTTACATCTCTCAGCAACAGTATATTTCTTGTCAAAACCTTGTGATTTCAAAACGTGAATAGTCATCCGTTCATTATCCACATAAAGATACTAATATCCGAAGAGGAATTAGTATTTTATGAAGATGGAAATGTAAATATAACTCAATTTTGTGTATATATATATTAGTGTAAAGAAAATTTTATTGCAACACGATTGACATAGTGTTTATATTTCGTATATTACTGTCTAAGTGTTGGTATTAACGTTTTACATCATAGGTAAAAACAAGAACTGTGTTTGCGATGAAGATTTTGGTCATGTGGTACGATTGCAAAATGTTTATAATTATAATAGTATAATTATAATAATTTTAATAAGTCTTATGACATGTGTGTTCTTATCCTAAGAACGAGGAACTGTCGTCCGTTCGCAGTAGTTCGATTATTAATTTTGAAATCAAACATCCTCAACATCTCTTTGAACACCTAAAGGAAATGCAAATTAATTAAAAAGATTATCCTCGATTCTATCTTTCTGTAACGCACGTTGTAAATAATTCGAAATGATAGTATATATTTTTACCGGGAAGAGAAGTGAGGAATGACCAATAATAATTAGGACACAATTGCACCGTGATTAATTCGGAAATCGTACTATTAAGCAAGTAGTAATCAAATAATTAATGCACAGAATCGCTGTGACGATATACCAAAACAATACTACTAAATATAAGAAGCAAAGTTAAACTTTGAGGTACGTTAATACCTTAAGGTACCGAGTTAGTGTAATTAGCAGAGCGTAAAAAATAAGTGTATGAGTTACAAAAATGTTTTCTGTAAGTGTGACATATATTATATCCTTTGCTATAATTATTAATTGTATATAGCATGTACGATAAGTACCTAATTGGGCACACTCCGATGCTTATGTTTATATCGCTCGTAAAGATTGATGAAATACACAATCGTGAAGTAAATAAACGAATAAATAAATGTTTCGTAATTTACAAAAAAGAACGTCGTGTCTCCAAATCATGTTCTCACATACACCTGAATTCACTACCATCCACCATATTTTCATATTGTCGCAATACTTTTCTCTAAGTTGGGTAACTTTCTGTGCTTCAGTATCTTTTCTTTCTAACCATACCTTCGCACTATTTATTATTCTGTCAGCAAACGTCGCTAATCAGCCAAGGCTAGCGCAATTTGTTATTTAAAGTTGACACTATCTCCTTCTCATTACGTATACTCTTATTTTGTTACATTCGTAGTTTACCATTTTCACTCTATGATAAGAATTAAAAACAAAACCAATATTGTACGTAAAACAAACGTAAACTACAATAAATAAATTGTTCACATAGACAACTTATGTAATCGATACTTTTGTCACTAATGAGATAAAATGTTATTCAGTGTGTAAGAGGACGAGAACGATGTAAAGATTATTTGTCATTTGTCACTGAGCAGTTGAGATGGTCAAGTTAATAAGCAAGTGAAAAGTTTATCTTAAAATGATGACCCAATCGGTATAAAATACAAATTACTTTTGGCAAAACTTGAATTCCTTTTATGCCACGTGGTTCGTTGAAATGGTTGTACGAGTACTTGTAAATTTACACGATAACTTCACATACTTAACGTTTGTAATACTGATATCATATGTCTGACACTGATATTAAGTCACAGATATATTGATATTTTTATTCTCGGCAATTGCAATGACCTAATGAAAATCAACAATGTAACTTGTGAGATGATCAGAAGCATCATAGAAGCTTGATAGAAAAATAAGTACTCTTGAATGCGTGCAATATCATAATTTACAGTTATCACAGAAGCATTATGGTGTATCATAGATATCCACACTATTTCTTGCGCCCCCCTCTCCCCCTCCTCTCTCTACATAATCGTGTGGGCGCCCATGCGTGCGACGTTGCCGTGGTGGCGCATGCGCGAGCATGTGCGTGATTGCCGCAGCCCGGGACAGGGGAAATCCCGCAGCAGCTCGAAAAGAAGGGTGGCACCCGGAAAGCGAATGGGGGGCCGCTTGTACAGCCCTGCCTCCGCCCATGCCATGAACATCCCAGCCAACTACCTAGATACGTTGCTACCAACCAGGTTTCAAAGTCAGACATGTCTGGCCTGTGAGAGCCAAGATCGCCGCTCACATACAGATTTCCCATCAAATCGCACAATTTTTTGCGAATCTTTAACATGTAGCCGTGTGCACAATTGCCGTTGGCACAATTTCTTCACTTGCTTAACAATATCGGACTTGACTTTCAGAAAAGAAACTTGCAGAAAACAGAATCTTGACAGGACTGAATAAACTGAGTAATTTTTTCGACTGGCTGTGGCTAAAAAAGAGTCACGTTGTTGCACTTTGTTCTCTTATGAAGACTAACTTTGTGGAGTAACAAAAATAACTTCGATTGATCTTGCAAATCGACTGGATATAACATGGAGAGAAAGGAAATAATAAAGAATTCTGCTTTTTGGCTACACGGGCCATTTATTAATGCGTGTATCCCAGTTATGGTTGTAACCGAAAAGCAATAAAAAAAATTAGAAGCAAGATTATAATTTTTTCACGGCATTATGATGAGAAACGTACTTTTCGGGCGCAAGATGTGATGGGAGAAGCGCGATGTATAATCTTTATTATGTTCCCAAAACGTTCTGTCTATAGCGCAAGACGATACGATCAACAGCAAGTTTCCTGCAAGCGCGGGGGAAGGAAGTACACAAGAGCCGCTAATTACCAGATCTATATACCGTTGTCTACCTGCTACCCGTGGGTAGCGTAGATGAGCCATAAGTTCCGATGTTAAACACCTTCGCTAACTTCTCCTGTGATGTGGATTAGCTGTAAATTATTGTAGACGTTTCGGTCAGTTCTATTGTTCCGAAGCGTGGCAAAACACAGCGCAAAATTGATTACACATAACCGGGTTAGTATATTAGAATTACCAACGGCAAAAGTTAAGCCCGCCCGAAACTCCTGGGCAAAATAACACGGGTAAAACAAACCCGTAACATTTTGTTGCAACAATGAAATGAATCCCTCCATGGTGTCACTTAACGTACAATTTGCCCGTTAATTTACTCGGAACATCGTGTTTATTTATTTACTTGTTTATTCATTTGTTTACGTGCTGGTCATTTTTCCAGGAGAAATCACTTTCTCACCGCGAACCATGGGGGAAACACTCTTTGTGCATATTTGCATATGGGTATCTAACAACGGCGCATTTCTTGACCTTCTTTCCGTTCACCGTCGTTACACCTACGCATCGCGCACCGCATTCGTTGTCTTAAGACAAATGATGCATATATGCTGGTCATTTCGCCCATATCCGCATCGCAATCGCTCCGATCTACAACCTGTATGGCTCTCTGAACGTAAAGTGGGTGGTCGTAGAATTGCTCGTTTAGCGAGTGCAGGAACGGACAACGAGAATTTCGCACGAGCTACCATCGTATCTCGTGTATCTCTAGACTATAATCGAGACTTGGCCCATTGCACGACCACACACACACACACTTCGCATTGAGCAAACACTATCATCGACATGTGCTCTCGAAAAATTGAACAAGGTCACGCATATCCAGGTGACTCTTTTAACGGCGCAGTTATCGTTTCGTCGTGGTCGTTATCGAGAGAACAAAAAACCTTTTTACCAGGAACAATTAAGAAATGACAAAAATTATACGATCGCCAAGTAATGAAACGTAAAAATAAATTACTTAAGATAGAAAGTAGAAACGATATATTCTTAAATAGAGAAATAATATATTTTCCGTACGACACACTTAATATATAATATAAAATATTAAAATGGAAGGGGAGAGTTCGATGAAATTAAAATTAAATTGCGGTTACCCGCGTCCGAAAATTCCAAAAATGATGTAAGATAGATCTAGTGTGAAATACGCTGGTCTCCATCAGATGTAATTGGAGGGGATTAACGAGTCACGACTCCATTTATCAGCCACCGTAATTACAAAGCATCTCTGCGTCCCACCTCCTGGACAAGCTACCCTCACCCTCTCTCGCGCGCTCACCGCTTCGCTTTCCGCTCGACGTTCGCTCCACCGACTGACTGACATTCCCCAAAGACAGTTTCGCATCTCAAATACACAGTCGCTTGTAACTAAAGATAACAGGCACCACCGTGTCATCGAAGGGCGCCGCCGTGAAATTAGATTTAAATCTGCCGCATGGACGTCCTAGTAGACGTCGCGCGGAAATGTTTGATCCCCGGGCGCCATTAATTGTCGCTTGCCGTTGAATGGTGATCGTAAAACGGATAAGGAAAAGTTTCGGCGGTATTACGAACGGATCCCCCGGTGGCTTATTTTGATTTCGAGAAAGCAGATAATGAATCGGCTGCCATAACACCGCAGCACGGTAGCGATCTGGCGACACGCGTCGATGATCGAGCGGGAGGCATCGGAAACTGACACGGACGGGCTACGTCCGTCGCTGGAATTAATTAAAACGGATCGGACCAAAAGAGGCATGTATTTTTATCTACAGCTACGTCTCCGATGACGCGCTCTACCTCCGAGGTGGGGCTAGATATGAGGGAGAAAAAGAAAATGTGCCGCTACTGTCATCACGTTCCACCGCAGATAATCTTCGACGCCAGTCTCAGTACACGGTGTCGTATATTTCTTACCGTTAACTTTCGTTACATTCGACGCGACGTCTCATAAATATTACCATGGATACGTAGCAACGATATGAATGATATTGATGTAAACGCGTGATCATTAAACCGGCACGGCTTGACGTCCCGTCGAGCTCCCCAAACAAAGGCGAGCTTTTAATTGGGATGAGATTTAAATTTGAGAAATATATATATATGTGTATAAAGTATAAATTTGAGAAATCTATTCTCACTGATCAATTAAGCAATTCCATTTCATCGACCACACACTGATATCCCTCGTAAAGAATGGTATATTTTCAGCTCCTTCGTGATAATGCTACCTCAAGCTCGCGCACCAACAACAAACACCACGAAGTGCCACTATTACGAGAAGCCGTCGACGGTACCTGTCGCTAGTCGCTGCCTCTGTATAGAAAAAGAAAAAGAGAGAAAGAGTGGAGGAAGAGAGACGAAAACAGAGGGGGGAAGAGAAATAGAGAATGAGAACGACGGACTGGGCGGCGCAAAGGCTTCGGCTCGCAAGCCGCACGTTCATTAATCTTGATCGGATCAGTCGAGATAGCGGCGAGCTGTTTCGGAAACCCTCTCCTACCACCCTTCTCATCAAGTCCCCTAGTACCATCGCCTCCACCTTCTCCTTCACCTCCTTCTCGTCCTACGTATCCTTCAGCTTCTTTTTCTTCTGCTTCTCGAACTCTTTCCTACAGGACCCTGCCATCGGTTCACCCGAAAGTTAAGAGCGGGGAAACCTACGGAACAGATCGACAGTGAAGCGCCGTAGCGAAAACGCCCAAAGATTTTAATTCCAGTCCAGACGCTGAGCAATTCTCCTCCGTCCGCATCTACGGATCCTCAGGATTCCCGGAACCATACAATCAGATTCAGCTTAGCTCACCAGTCTGCACGTTGGTCGAACATTTTCAGCCGCCCTGTGCGACTGGCGAAACCAAAATTGCACTCGAGCGTGAAACCTACTATTATGTTGATAACATTGTTTAACAATCCTACTTTCTTATTTTATCGCTTCTCCCGTGAACTTTCCACATCTACCGATATCCTTCAGTGATTTTGATTTACTCAGGTCAAATAGCAACGTTTATTTGAAGGACACACTAAAATATACCTTTTTCGTTTTGTGTTTATATAATTTATTCTCTTACTATTCGTAACTTTGTTCGATACGCTGCTCGTACACAGGTTTAGAGGAACGTTGAGATATTTTATTTTCTATCCTTTACGAAATAGCGAAGACATTGGAGAAACGGACGGTTTACTTCTGGGCAGATTGTATACCAATCTTCCTTCCTGTTCCCTGCTTATAATTCATTAAAATTCGTTTTGCTCTCTCCTCTGAAAACGTGATGGATCTTGTTTTCAATTTAGTAGAGCCCCAACTGCGACTACCATAATGCCCCGCACGAACTACTCGCAGAATAGCAATGAGCCTCCACCCTGGTTGACAGCGAACTATGAATTGTTATGGTGATGAAAAAATTCGTATGCGGAAATTAATTGGATGCCACAATAACATTGAATATTTATTTTTCATT